TGCCTCAGCCTCCCAAAATGCTGGGATTACAGGTGTGGGCCACCGTGCCTGGCTTTGCTTTTATTTATTTACTTTTTTTAAAGAGCTGGAGTCGTGTTTGGTCACTCAGGCTGTAGTACAGTGGTACAATCATAGCTCATTGCAGCCTTGAATTTCTGGGCTCAAGTGAACCTCCTAGTTCAGCCTCCCAAGTAGCTGGGACTACAGGTGTGCACCATGCCTGGCTAATTTTTTTTTAAGGGGTGGGAGGTCTTGCTATGTTATCCAGCTGGTCTTAAACTACTGGCCTTAAGTGATCTTCCCACCTTAGCTTCCTGAGTAGCTGGGATTACAAGTGTTACCCCTTACTTTTGCTAGGTTTCTACTTTTTGGAATAAGAATGTTTATGCAATGTTTAATCATTGTATCTTAGAGATAAATAACTTGTGTTAAAATTTACAATCTCGTAGCTGGCAGGAACTTGAGTTTCAGATGAGACTCTGGACTTTGGAGTTGGCACCAAAACAAGACTTTTGGAATTACTGGGATGGAAGGATTGTATTTTGTATGTGACAAGGATATGGCTTTTGAGGGGCGGGAATGCTACGGTTTGAATATTTTCCCCCAAAATTCATGTATTAGAAACTTAATCACCAATGCAAGTGTTGAGAGGTGGGACTTTTTTTTTTTTGAGAGAAGGTCTCACTCTGTTACCCAGGCTAGGGTGCAATGGTATCATCATAGTTCATTGCAGCCTCAAACTCCTGGGCTCAAGCAATTTTCCTACCTCAGCCTCCTGAGTAACTGGGACTACAGGCATGCGCCACCACACCTGTCTTATTTTTCAATTTTTTGTAGAGACAAGATCTCACTCTTGCTCAGGATGGTTTTGAACTCCTGGTCTCAAGTAATCATTCCTCCACCTTGGTCTCCCAAAGTGCTAGGATTACAGGCGTAAGCCAGCGCACCTGGCCCTGAGAGGTGGGACCTTTAAGAGGTGATTAGGTCATGAGGGCTCTGCCCTCATTAATGGCTTCATGTTGTTATCACAAGAGATTTGTTATAAAAGCTAGCTCAGCCCTTTCTCGCTCTCTCTCTTGCCCATAAGAAAGAAGCCTTCTGCCATGTTATGATGCAGGTAGAAGCCCTCACCAGATCCTTTGATCTTGGACTTCCCAGCCTCTAGAACCAGGAGCCAAATAAATTTCTGTTCATTATAAATTACCCATTCTGTGATATTATGTGGTAGCAGCATAAAAAATGCTAAGGCAATTACTAAAACTAATTTCACCTGTTCTTTTTACTTTTTTGATATTTCCATTTTTTTTTTCTTTTTTTTGAGACAGAGTCTCACTTTGTCACCCAGGCTAGAGTGAGTGCCGTGGCATCAGCCTAGCTCACAGCAACCTCAAACTCCTGGGCTCAAGCAATCCTGCTGCCTCAGCCTCCCAAGTAGCTGGGACTACAGGCATGCGCCACTATACCCAGCTAATTTTTCCTATATATATTATCTGGCCAATTAATTTCTTTCTATTTATAGTAGAGATGGGGTCTCACTCTTGCTCAGGCTGGTTTCGAACTCCTGACCTCGAACAATCCGCCCGCCTTAACCTCCCAGAGTGCTAGTATTACAGGCTTTAGCCACTGCGCCTGGCCTATATTTCCATTTTTAATGTGGGTACTAGAAAGTTTAGTTACACATGTGCCTTGCATTTGAGGCTTGCGTTTTATTCCTATTGGACAGTGCTATTTTAGACAGCTAGCTGTGGCTTCTATAGAACTGGTTGTGTAAGGTTACTGAATTTTCTTTACTTCTAGAAGCAAACTGATTCTCTCTCACTCTGTTTCTGGGTTGCACTGTGCTATGAGCTGTCCAAGAGTACTTGGGGAAGTCCCTTCCCCTCTTTCTGCCCTTCACCTGGGCTAGGGCTGACCTTAAAGATCTCATTTAGCTCCTACATCTGCCTTATCCCATACCGTCCAACTATCAGACTATAACACTAGGCTTTCTTCCGACCCTTGCGTAATAACAATGTGTACATGTCACTTAAAACCCCACACAGATTTTCCCTTGAAACAATGCTGCTGGTGCTGCTTCAAAAATGCCAGGTTGGAACCACCTGGAGCCAGTGGTCAGCGTGTACCGACAAAAGGGAAGGGCCTCAGTTGTAGCCTTGAGGTTTGCCCTCGCTCTCCTCGCTTCAGGACTCACTGGTTTCTTCTTGCCAGAGACTCCACTCCCACCCCCACCTTCTCGATAATAACAGTCATTGTGCCAGGTTAAAAGAGGAAGAATCAGCCCTCTAAGAGGAACTTTAAAACCAAAGGTAAGTCCCAGGCCCTCAAACTCTGGACAAAATAACTGGAAACTTTACCACTAACAACAACCCTCAAGACACAAAAAGAGGCCGGGCGCGGTGGTTCACGCCTGTAATCCTAGCACTCTGGGAGGCTGAGGCAGGCGAATTGCTCGAGGTCAGGAGTTCGAAACCAGCCTGAACAAGAACGAGACCCCTGTCTCTATTATAAATAAAAAGAAATTAATTGGCCAACTAATATATATAGAAAAAATTAGCCGGGCATGGTGGCGCATGCCTGTAGTCCCAGCTATTCGGGAGGCTGAGGCAGGAGGATCGCTTGAGCCCAGGAGTTTGAGGTTGCTGTGAGCTACGCAGACGCCATGGCACTCACTCTAGCCTGGGCAACAAAGCGAGACTCTGTCTCACAAAACAAAAACAAAAACAAACAAACAAAAAAAGACACAAAAAGAAAAATTAGATCCTTAGAATCCACCATCTATCTATCTATCTATCTATCTATCTATCTATCTATCTGTCTATCTGGGCCTACTGACGGTGGCTTTGGAGGTAGAACTGGGTTCAAATCTCCCTTCTACCATCACTCAGTAGTTACAGGACTACTCAGTATATACTCAATAGTTATAGTAGTTTTCCATAATGTATAACTTAGCACCGAGGGTCAGGCCTAAATAGATCAAACTAAAAAGATCAAACTAATATAGATGGCTCCATTACACAAATATACCATGTCAAAGTGTTTTTAAACATAAAGTTCTTAGGATTTTCTGACCTTGGTGATGGGTGGATGTGGTAGTGCGGAAGAAACGGTTACTCCTATTAAATAAAGTTCTCCCTCACTGGTCGTAGCAGCAATAGGATCCTATTAAATTTTAAAGATATACCTAATATTAAGTTCCTTCACAGGTGTGTGAGAAGGAGTGTGAAAATCTATTAGCTTGTGCTTTATGATTAACGAAAAAAGGCACTAGAATCTTGGAGAAAAAGTTCCACAAAGCACCCCAGGAAGATTAGAAGGGACATTTCCTGCAGGGAGGGGTATACTATACCCCACAGTGACATTTCCCACCCCATGTCTCATACCTGAATACAAACAAATTCACACACACACACACACACACACACACACACACACACACACACACACAAAGCATCTCATAACACCCAGCCAACAAAGAGGGCTTCTCCCATTTAGCAATCCTGCCCTCAAGCAAACAGTGGGCCTGCAGGTGCAGTGACCTTGTCTGAATCCTATTCTGCTGCATCTAGGGAGATTTAACCCGCTGGAAGGTGGCAAGCTCCTGCCCTTCCTCCCTAGCTTTACACTCCTATAAAGCAATAACCCAATAGTGCCAAATCCAATAGCAGGGCTGCAATGAGGGTGTTAAAATCCACAGTCACATTAGTTTAGAAGATAGAGAGTTGATAAATATCATCACCGCCTATTTTAAAATTGTCCTGAACAAAAGATCCATCCAGTTTCAACTTCAGGTCTCAAATCAATTCAATCTTCAAAATATTTAAAGCCATAGGTGAAAACTGAGTAAGGGATTCTATGTTGGTTGTTTGTGGGCTAAAGGTGGCTTCTCTTGTTTGCTTTCATCGATTGCTTAGGCAGTTCCCCAAGGGGCAGAACTCACTGACAAAGGGAAATGTAGCTCCCACCACCTTCTTGGTGGTACAGATGAACAGAAATGTAATTTGCCATTAGAGAAGTTTTGGGAAGTTTCTGTTCCAAATGCAAAATTTCTAAATGCAAGGTTAAATTCTCTAAATGAAATGGACAGATCTGAGAAAATAGACCTATGAGAACTAAAGATTATTGATCATTTGTTAAACACGCAACCAAGACTGCATGTGCTTGGGAAGAAGTGAGACCCAGAGGCAGTGGTCCAGCTTAAGGTTTGTCTCAAATATTTCCTTTAATATTTGCTTCAAATATTTGGAGAAGGCAATCAGATTCATAACGTGCCCAACTTTCTGGATCATAACCACATTGAGATGCAAATAGTTTGGGATTCTCCTTGCAAAAAGAAGAAAGGAGAAAATATTAAGACATAATCTGGCCCTTCTAGGACTTGGAAATTCAGAGAGAGATTTCTACTCCATCCTGCTGGAACTGGCTCTAAATCCCAGGGAAGGAGCATTGTTCCCACTGTCCTGGCTTCAGCTGTGTATAAAAGAAGGTAAGAACAGTGTCACACACCAGCAGGCAGAGCTCTGAAATTTCATGCTGTAAAGGAGATACAGCACTCTAGGAAAGCTCCTTGGTCTAGCCAACAACACCCGCCAAATTCTGATGTTATCAAAACAGTCTGAGGTTCAGGGGCTTTTGCCAGAGAAAGAGTAACATTCCTGAAGTCACAGGTCTAAGTTGGTGGACTAACACGGGTTTCAGGAATGACACAAAGTAGAATATTTTCAAGAAGCGTGCTTCCTGCTGGGGGAGGAGAAATTGTGGATGAAAGAGCAGGTCCCCTGCTTTTGTTTCCCACTTCTCTTACAGTGTCACCTAGTCACAATCACCCAGTCATCACACTGTGGGTCACACCCAGCCACACAGTGACCCTGAGTCACAAACACTCTTGAACAGTCAGAAAATCACAGCCTCCCACGCTCAGTAGTTAGGTGCAATCTAACACACTCGGTCCAGCGATGATAAGATGCCCACTCCTCTGAACGTCCACAAACTCCTCTACCCACCTGATTGCCAAAAACAGCCACGGAGCAAGCTGTTGAAACCTCATTAGCCCCGAACCAGACAGAAGCCAGGCGGGAGGGCATGCCCAGGATGAAGACTTGGGCCACGGAGCAGATGACCTGGCCCAACACCGTGACCGGGAAGAGGTGTGGCCGCAGGCTGCCCAACTTCACCCAGGCCCCCAGGCAGTTGAGAGCTGAGCCGGTGAGGGCGATGGTGCGCAGGCCGAATTTCTCCAGCAGCCAGGCCACGGGCAGGAGCAGAGGGATGTAGGTCAGCATGTAGCACATGGACAGCCAGTCGATGGCAAAGGCGCTGACCCCGTAGAAGTGCATGAAGATGTTATTGATGGCGCCGTACTGGATCCACTGAAAGGCGTTGCACATGGAGTAGCAGCTGAACACCAGGACCACAGCCCAGCGGCGCTTGCTCACCTTGATCACGCTGAGGTCTTCGGGGCTGGAACCACAGGGTTGGGTCAAGCCGCTGGGTTGGGCCAAGGCACTGGGGTGGGCCGAGCTGCTGGGCTGCACGGAGACGCTGGGGTGGATGGAGACGCTGGGGTGGGCTGAGACGCTGGGGTCCTCTCGGAGTGAGGACTCCGGCGCAGGGGTGTCATCGCGCTCCTGCTGGTTAGGATCTTCATTCACCATGACCACAGCCTCCCCTGGAATCCTGGAGAGGTGCTGAGGACTCCAGCAGTCTTAAGGGACGGTGGCTGTCCCCTAGAGCTGACGGGACACTTGCCTCCGCCTGCCCCAGAAGAAACGGAGATCCGAGGCAGCGTCAAAAGCTGCGAGTGCGGCTCCCTGCGCTCACCTCCAAGCTCCTGCTCCCACTTTTCCTTGGAGTTCTTTGTCCCCACCCGTAGCGATCGCTGTCCCCAGGCCGGCTGTAGACGCCTCAGCCCGCTCCTGCCTTGGCTTCCCCCTACAGCGTTTTTGGTACTGGAGAAAATTCACTCCAGGCTCAGCTACTTCGCTTGCTCAGTTCTCTCCGGGTCGGCTCGGGGCCTCGCCCCCTCGGGCGCACGTGACCGCCCCGCCCCCGTCCTGGCCGGCTTCCCATCCCCCTACTCCGCCCCCACCCCGGCTCCCTTCCCTTCTTGAGCCCGGCCTGGCCGGCCGCGCAGTTGTTTCGCCACCGCTTGCGGGATGCATTCCTCCCCTACGCCCCGGGCGCCATGGAAACCGCCCGCGCACCCCCACGCCTTGCACTGCCCCTCAACTCATTTGTCCCGCTCCCAGCGGCCCGGGGGAGAAGATCCCCCCACTCTTACAAGGTAATTCGCACATAGAGTTCCCTCCGCGCCCGTCCGCATGTCCTGCGCGCGCGCACTGCTTCCCCGCGCTGCCAAGGTGTTCCCGGACACCCGAGAGGGGTTCCCCGGCCTCCTCCCTCTCGGCTGGGCTCCCCACTCCTTGCTGACCTTTCGGTATAAAAAAAGACTAGTAGATTTCCTGGTCTGTGCGCTCCCGGGTTAAAGGAGAGCTGCTGCAAACTCGCTTAGCTCGCGACTATCCCTGCGGACGTGATTTGTCCTGGGGAAGTTAGATTTGAACCTGTTAGGCAGGGCTATTATTTCCCGATGGATTCTGAGCAGCCTCAACAGTGAGGACCCTAGGGTGGAGGGGACCGGGGAGTTCGGAGAAGCGTCAGACGCGGTCTGCGGTTGTGTTGCCAAATGTTTAGCGCAGCGCTGGCTCCGAGCGCGGTCCGGTAAGTGATCTCTGCGCCCGCGTGGCCCTAGGTTGCCACCTGCCGGTGCCAGCCTGTTTCAGAGGCGAAAACCCTTATTAACTCGCTGCAATAAGCCGTTTTAGCCCCGGCGAGGGACAGTGGTAAAAGAGCCCCCGGATTCTCCTTGGGTTCAAGCCCCAGCTTAGCTGCTCCGAGGTGTGTCACTGTAGATCAAGGTTCTCCACCTCTCTGTGCCCCAGTTTCTTCATCTGTAAGATGGGGCTGATTAAATAATAGTGCCTGCCTTACGGTGTTGTTTTGAGGCTTGAAAGAGTTAATTCGTGAAAGCGCTCAGAAAATTCCTTGCATATAGTAAGCTTTCCATGAATGCTAGCTATCTGTCCTAGCAAAAAGCTAACCTTGGGTGTACTGTGCTAAACACGTTTAATGTATTATCTCAATTAAGCATCACAAGAATTCTGTGATATAATTAGTATTGCTGGACTGCATTTTATAGGACATGAGGCTTACAGAAGTGAAGTGACTTCTTACTTAAGGGCCCAGCTGGCGTGGAGAGCCATAATTCTCCTTCAGGTCTGCAATCATGCAAGCTATAGGCAGCTGCCCTGGGAACTTGTTAGAAGGGCAGAATCCTCTCCAGTGTCAGGGTCTTTAAATAAAAAAATAAAAAAAAAGGCAAGAAGGGCAAGATGCCAGGCCTACCCCAGACCTACTGAATTATAAGCTGCATATTAATGAGATATCCAGGAGATTTGTTTATTTGCACATTAAAGTTTGAGAGCTACTGGGTGCCTCTGCTTCCTTTTCTTTCTTTTTTTAAACTTCAGACCAAAAATGATTAAAGCTCTGGAGCGGTGGTTCTCCAGGTTGCACATTAGAATCTCATGCTGGGGACTCAGCATTCCAGATGCCTGGGCCAGACCCACATCGGAATCTCTGAGGAAGGACAGGGACATCTGCATGTTTCTAGCTCCCCAGGTCATGCAAGTTGGAGCACCCCTGGTGGGGTTAGAACCACTGACTTCCAGGAGAGAGAACTAGATTCACAACATCATTCCCTGCTTGGAGGCACCTACTTTTTGGTAGAAACTGCAGGGTGTTGGATTATAATGGAATATTTGAAGAAGAAATTCATATCCATATAAAAATTTCTACATTAATTTAATGTCCTTGAATTCTCAAAATTCCTCCAGTGTTTCCCATCATTCTCTAGGGAGCAGAGAATCTTTTGGAAGACCTTCTAACTCTCACTGTTTCTTTTCCCTAGGTCATCATGGACCAGTCCCCAAACTCTTCAGAATCTATTAACTTCACCTTATAGAGGAGGAAGCTGGAGCCCAGAGTCAGGTGTGCTATTTGGATTCTCACAGTGAATTAGCATCAAAACGAGCAACGGTAAGATTTCCCTTCCATGTGGTATCTCCCATAAGCTTTTGGGTGGCAGCACTTCAGTCTAATGACAAATTCCAAGAGAGCTAAGCTGGAATATCTGGAGTTGCTTTTGTGGAGAAGTGAGTCGGGATTTGCTGTGAGCCCTGAATTGGCTCTGCTTGGACTTGAAGCTCTGTTGTGCTATTATTAGCTTCAGGATCATGGGGAAGTCACTTAACCTCTGTATCCTTCAGTTTCTGAATCTATCAAATGAGGATTAAAAATACCTGCCTCACAGGATTATTGTGAGAATTAAACAAGATAATGTGTGTATTTGTTTTCGATAATAATAATGATATTCTGGCAGCCAACCAGGGAAGTGCTGACTCTTGGCAGATTCCCACCAGGGGGCGGACTGCTCCATATCTGCCCAATAGCTTATCTTCATTGGGTAGATATTACATAAAAATAATCTGTATTCATTTTTCATCATGTTGAAAAAACATTAAGCAGCTGACTATGTATTATATTTATCTGTATTTTCTGTCTATAGGTGTCTAGAGGTACACCTGGATGGAGAAGGAGAAATACATTTTAGAGATTGCTTCCTAAAAGGGGGCTCTGGTTCCTTCCAGTCAGTTCTGTCCCCAACTGACTCAAGAGGAAGCTTGCAGGAATCTCTGGCATTAAATTCAACCTTTCCTGGCCTTCTGCAGACTGGTAGCAAAATCTGCCCCCTCGGGGCTAACAGCAACTGCTGGCAGTAAGAACAGGACTTGGAAGTCAGAATGTCTTGCCCTTATTGATAGCTTACTACCAGCTAAACAGGGCTGTAGATGTAAGAAGCATGGGGTTTGGTGAGTGCATGGGAAGTTCCAATGAAGTGAATGAGGTGGAGACCCTGGATTATTCCTCCTTAAAATTCTAGCATTTGGAATTTCTAAAAATGTTGCCCTTATAAGTCTTATATGTATAATTTATATGTGTAATACTACATGATCATCAATTTTCTGTTTATCTCCTACATTTTTCTAAGATTTCTAGCTCTCTAAGGACTTATGCATATCTTTGCATAGCCTGGAATGTTTAGTGTCATAAGCTATATAGCACATGCTTCCCATATACGTCTGTAGAACTGAGCTGCATTATACATCACCGCAGAATTTCAGAAAACTGGGGACAAAGAGGAGATCCAACAGACTTTCAGAGAGATAAAAAACAGGTTTCATAAAGAGTTGTTTTTTTTTTAAAAAAAAGTACAAAATATCATCACAGTTGTCATCAAGCCTGGAAACTGAAAGTCAGTGAAACAATGCCTTCTGAAGGAAAAACATTTCCTGCCTAGAATTCTATGCCCAAACTACCAAAATAAATAAGTCGAAGAAGAGAATCAAATGTTTTCAGATATGCAGAGTTTCAAAAAAAAAGTACTGCCTTATCCTCTCTCTTAGGAAGCTGCTAAAGGATGTGCTCCACCAAAACAAGAGAGGAACCCTAAAGAAAATATGATGTAGGATTGTGGAAGTAAGGAATTCTGCACAAGAGGCAGGCAATGGGAATCGCTAGCTAAAGGAAAAGCCCAGAGGGACAGCTGTTTGCCAGGCATGGAAAGCAGTCTGTTCAGATGAAAGTTGATCAGAAGACTACAGGAAAGATTTATTCAAGGAAGTGACACTGATAGGAATGTGTTTGAAACTACTGAGAGGAGGTTTACACAGATGGGGGAGAATCAGGGGTTAAACTAATGATAAGTACCACAAATATAACTAAATAAATGGGGGAGGGGAGGCATTATTAACTCCAGTAGAATTTTTAAAAAGCTATGGAAGAGCCGGGCGCAGTGGCTCACGCCTGTAATCCTAGCACTCTGGGAGGCCAAGGCGGGCGGATTGCTCAAGGTCAGGAGTTCAAAACCAGCCTGAGCGAGACCCCGTCTCTACCATAAAAATAGAAAGAAATTAATTGGCCAACTAATATATATAATATAAAAATCAGCCGGGCATGGTGGCTCGTGCCTGTAGTCCCAGCTACTCGGGAGGCTGAGGCAGGAGGATCGCTTGAGCCCAGGGCACTCTAGCCTAGGCAAGAAAGCGAGACTCTGTCTCAAAAAAAAAAAAAAAAAAAAAGCTATGGAAGAAAGGGGGAAAAAATAATTATGGTGATTATTTTGTGACTCAGTTTGCATAGCATGAATGCAATCATAACAATCATAAGAATGTGAATACTGGAAGTTGACTTACCCAAAACTATGATATGCCTCTACTGGGAGGAGGGAGGAATAGTAATTGGGTATGTGTGTGTAGTTGAGATGAGGGTGGGGTACATAGTGAAACCCTTATCTGCAATATTGGAAAGGACATAGCATGTAAATGCCTATCATGGAAAAATTCAGGAGGTATCAATATGTCCATGTCATTTGCAGCCATGGTGGTAACACCAAAAAAATCATCTAAGAAGAATTGAAAGTAGTTGCCTCAGGAGAGCAGGAAAGGGGGGGAGGATAGGCAACTGATATTTTTAATATATGATTATTTGATTCTTTAAACTATGTATAGCTTTAATTTTCTTAAACAAACAAAAAACCCTAAAATTTAAAATGGAATCAAATTTAATGGAGATCCAGCTGCTTCGCTGGAGCCCATAGGTGATGTCGGAGACCCTATTCCTCACCCCCTAGTCGAGTTTGACCCTTCTCTGACCTTCTTTTTCCTTCTGTCTTTCACGCTGTAGGGTCTTATCCCTTCAATTTACAACTCACCTTCTGTCCCATCTTCCACCGTAGTTCAGACTCTCACCTCCATCCCGCCACCACCTCCTCAATGTTCCTGCTCTTCCAGCTCAGCACCACGCCCCTCTGCGTGGGCCTTCCGGTTCTCTTCAGGCCCTGCCTTGACGTCTCCAGTGGCCGTCCCTAGCTCTCAGAAGGCCCACACTCGTCCACTCTGCGCACAGGGCCTTTGTGATGTCACTCTGGCCACATCTGCCACCACCAACCACTCCTACGTTTTGCCCCAGCCGGGCAGAACCGCCTGCAGCTGCCCACAAGCATGCTTCCCAATGCAGGGCAAGCGTCCCTCCTGCAGGATGCCCTCCTCCATGCCCTGGGCGTGTTTCAGAGTCTTCTTCCCCTCCCTGCATGTGCACGTTGGTGGAAGCTCTAGTCCCACTGTATCATAAAGGTTTATGTACTTCTTTTAAGTTATCTACTTGCTGTGAGCACCTCCAGTGTATGAGTCATGGCTTATTCATACTCAAACCCCAACCTCTAGCTCTGTGTCTGGCCCCCAGAAGGGAAATAGAAGACTGATGGAACTGACTTCTTGGATGCATTTCCTAGATGACTCCCAACCTCCAGATGGCCTCAGAATAAATGACATGTCCAGCTTGTATGGGATGCTCATGTCTATTTTGTTTATTTTGTTTTCCTTTTTCTTTTCTGGGGTGCCTGCCCACGGTGTTTGGGCTGTACTGGCACACCTCACGAAGCCCCTGTCCCCTGCCAAGTGCCAGTCCAGATTCCTTCCCTCCAGGGTCCTCTCTGTGCAGAGATTCTCCAAGTCTGTCCTTGAAGGGAATGTGCAGAATCTGCAGGGCCTGCAGAAGCTTGGGGGCAGAGGAAGACTCATTCTCCTTAGAAGAGAGAACAGAATAAAGACCTCCTACCTGGACGTGTGGACGTCAGGCTCTGTGCTAGACACATGGTTTGAAATAGATTTTCAGTTCCCTAGAAATACATGAGTATTTCTGGAAGGCCGCAGATGGCATTAGTCCTCCTCTAAGGAAAGGCCCATGTCTGCGGGTCACATTTTATGTCCTCAGCTGTATGTCCCTGGGTGTGTTCATGGGCGTCCACCATGTTATTCTTCATACCTTTTATATATTTTAAATACTTCTTAATAATTCGAAAACCAAAAAAAAGTTGTTCCATAAATATGAGAAAGAGCGAAATAAAAAACATGAGCCAAAGAGGAAGGAGATAGTCAAATGTTTTTTGCTTTTTTGCATAATCTATAGAAAGCCCAGAGGTGTGAGGCTGTGTTTGCATAGTGGAAGAGAGAAACGGTGGGAGCAGCTAGATTCATTGATTGCCAGGGCAACAGTGAAAGGCACAGGGGATGGCAAAGCACTGGGCGCTGGCTGGGCAGGGCGAGGTGATGCTGGAACTATAGCGTTAGGGAAAAGAGAGGCAAAATCATCTAGTTCTGCCCCTTGGTTCACGGGGGAAAAACCCAGGCCCAGGGAGCTGTCCTGACAGAGTCATTCATTTATTCACCACTGGTCTCCTGCAGACTAGGCCCTGTGCTAGGTGTGGGGGGAAAAGGAATCTGCAAACTAGAGGAGAGACAGACATGTGAGTAGGTCATTGCAGGATGGTCTGATACATGTGAGGCCGAGTCAGTGCTGGCTCATGGACTGACAAAGCAGGGGTCCAAGGGGGCTTCTCAGAGGGGTGTTTCAACAGGGTCTGGAGGGACAGATAAGACTTAGCGAGGCCCTGCGGCAGGTGTTGAGGACCCAGTGGTGAGCAAAACAGACAGAGTCCCTCCCTGACCTCATGGGCTTACGGTCTAGTTGAGAGCACTAACAGCAGACACTCACATACACACATAAGTAAAATGATAAGAGATACAAGGGGTATCTGTAAGAATTTGTAAAGAGGGACAGATGACCTTAAGCAAGGTCTCAAGAAAGAGTGGGACCTGACTCGACAAAAGAGAGGGGGAGGGTATCTCAGCAGAGGGAACAGAATGTGCAAAGACCCCGAGCCAGGAGGAAGCCTTCTTTTCAAGGAGTTGGACAAAGCCAGTGTGGCTGGAGCAGAGTGAGGGTGAGAGTCGAAGCCAGAGGGAGGTGGCAGCCAGGTTGGGCAGGCCTAATTATTAAAGCTTTTTTTTTTTTTTTTTTTTTTTTTTTACTTTATCCTGAGATCAAAGGAGCCACTGGGAGGTTTTAAGCAGATGAGGGACATCATTAGATTTGTCATTTGGAGAGAAGGCTTTGGCTGGTTTGTGGAGAACCCAGTTGGGGTGGGGACAGGGAGACCTCTTAGGAGGCCGCTGTGGTCACCCAGGTGAGAGTGGAATTTGGGCAGTGGCAGGAGGGTAGAAGGCAGTGGAAGGGCAGGGGAGGTGGAGGGTGGGTGGGGCCAGAAGGGAGGAGTCAGGAGAATGCTCTGCCTGGGTTTCTGATGTGACCAACTGGGTAGGTGGAGCTGCCACCTTAAGGGAGGATCTCGGCTTCAACCTTGACAGGTTACACAGAGGCTATCGAAGCTGTAAAAGACAACTGCGCATGTGCTATTGCCCCGCCTCCTTTGTCTCTCTTTCTCTCCTCCCCTCATCCCTTTATTCTGCCCGCCACCCTTTCCCTACAGTGACCTCAGCCACTGTGAGTGAGATCAAGAGTCGAGAGAGCCTAAATTCAGAGTGTGAATTCCCATGAAAACCCAATAATCAAATTTTATGGAAAGTTACAAGTCCTGAATTCATCTTCTCATCTTTCACTCCTTGGCATCATGCCTCCTTGACGCTACGGGGCAGGACACTCAGCTTGGGCTCACCTGAACTGTGAATATGTAGAAACATTAGAAATAAACAATTCCCGGCCAGCCACGGTGGCTCATACCTGTAGTCCCAGCTGCAGGAGGGAGGATGGCTTGAGCCCAGGAGTCTGAGGCTGCAGTGAGCTATGGTGATGCCACTGCAGT